GCGAGATCCCGACTTATTATCTCGAGATCCCGACTTATTATCTCGGGATCTCGCGATAATAAGTCGGGATCTCGAGATAATAAGTCGGGATCTCGAGATAATAAGTCGGGATCTCGCGATAATAAGTCGGGATCTCGAGATCTCGACTTAGTTTCTCGGGATCTCGCGATAATAAGTCGGGATTTCTTTCCTTTTTTTTTTTTCTCCATGTCCCCTTAGGGGCTCCGTAAGACACAGATGACCTGCTGCATGTAACCAAACTAGTTTGGATGTTTGCATGTAACTCTGAAGAAACAAATTTTTATTTAGGGGAATGCATATAAATACCAAACCTTTCAAAAATTCATTTTTTGTGAAAACGTTTTTAAAAATATGCATAATTTTTCTTTCACTTCAGAGCTATTCAGTACTTTGTGTTTTGACATAAAATCCCAATAAATTTATTGAAACTTGTTGTAATATAACTAATTGAAAAAATGGTACAATGAATGCTTTCCCAAGATTCCAATATTATTATTCACATCCTTTATTGCATATTTATTTTAACATAGATCATTTTTGTTGATTTGAAAGAAATGTGATGCTTTGCTCCCTACCCGCATGGGTAATTACGCTAATCCCCACAGCCACAGTCTGCACAGTACGGAGAGCTCTGAGTTAGTTCAGTTTCCTGCTCACCTTTATTTCCACCCTGCTCTGATGAAGAGTTGACTGACTGTCAGCACTGATGCTGCAGAGACTGCTCTCTCTAGCCATACTGTCAGCTTGCAGCCTGATTTCAATCTGATCATCACCAGCTCTTGCGTTGTTGCAGTATAAAGGGAGATGAGATTCAGTTATGGTCCATTCATTTGCAAATAAAGCACCATCTAAACATCTGTCTATTACCTCTTCTTTCCAGAAAATTGCCAGATGGATCAAGGACAAGATAAACACTTCTAAGAAGGATCCCGGGTAGGATGATTTACCGCTGTGCTTCTAGTTTCTACATGTTTCACTAGTAATGAGAGGAAAGTGATCAGACTGCAGTTAAATCTACTTTTGAGATTACTGTTTTTCCAGTTAAAGTGCTCTGAAATACCAACTTCTTATACTTATTCTTGCTTTGTATTGTCAAAAAAGCAATTAAAACGTAGCTGTGTGTTTAAAATATGTGATGAATTCTAACAATGTTCAGTTGTCAGTCTTTTAATTTTACAACCAAACTCCATTAACTGTTTACATCTTAATTTACCTGCTTGGATATGTAGTGCTGTAGTTAGAGAAATAGATAGAGAATCTATTTCTCTAACAGTCTGAAATGGAAAGGTAGGTCAGGGTAATAAAGGATACCAAGATACAATACAATAACATCCTTCTATTAATGAATAACCTACTTGTTTGAACCTCTCCCCACCAACATAACATGTGAAATCATGCAATTTGTGTTTTTTACAACAAAGAGGAAGTGTGTTGTGAATACTCAAACACAGACAACACTGATGAAGTGGTGCACAATGAACAACATTCCCACAGGGTGCCAACAGATGCTTTTGGGGATGTCAGTTTTGGTGGTTCTTGGCAAAAGACTGGCAAGGTAAATTATTCTCAGATTAAAAGTAATGTTATGTCATAATACACAGCATTAATGATAACACTTCTGTAATATTTGCCCATGCCATTTTACACTTCATTCTTCACATTTTATGCTCATAGCATACTGAGGCTAGAAAAATAGTTGGGATTGTCTTGTACTGTGCTAACCTGGTTTAGATGTTGTTTGGCAGATGTGGACTACTTTGTGTCATTTTGTAATTATGGCTCAAACAACAGAGTTGGAGTCTTACAGTGGAACCAGCTTCCTCGTCTTCATCACGCCAGCTTTTTCTTCTAAAACTGCAGATAAATGATTCAAATCTTTGCTGAGATTGTTCACAACGTCCTCCGCTTCTGTGCACTTACTCCAAATTGTTAACCTTTTGACTTACTCTCCAAAGATGGCGCCGGCTACAGACAAGTCAGCACCTTATATAAATGTTCTGACAGGTCTCCATACGTTGTCAAATTACTCACATTTCTCTTTTTGGAGATATCTTATGCGTTCCAGGGGTAAAGTCATCAGCATTTGTCTGATCTATTGCTTGTTATTTGGTCTTGTTTTCATCCAGAAAAGAGCAATCAGTTTTCTAGCTTGTAGTAGACACATACCAATCAGGAGCTGTTCACATCTGGTAAACAAAGTATTTTTGGAATACAAACCTAGTATTAAAAAAAACAGGTCTTGAGCAATATTCTTCAAGACAACATGTTCTATAATTTGTTTTATTGTTTTTGAAAACGTGTTAATTTCCCTTCATTCCCAGATACAGTGAAATTGTGTCCCTTTTTCTTCTAGACATCTTGTGCATGTGTCTGGTATATGAGGATTAAGTCAATTTAAATTGACTGGTGTAATATATATTTGCATTAACCATTTGTACTGCAGTAACCCCACCCATCACAATAGTGACCTTGAAATTTATTTCCCTTTTTATAGACTCCAAAAAGCTTATGATTAAATATTCAGTTAATGCTCAGCAAGTACTGAAAGACTGGAGTGTTTGAATCATACTTATGCAGTATCATAAGTATGATACTGTATGTAAATTGTCACATGACCAGAGCTTGGTTCCACCGAGAGGTAGGCTGCCTCAAACCTTCCAAAGAAGAGGCTAGCAATGTATGTTTAAACATACGACAAAGATTTTTGGTGCACATCATACACCTTTGCATTTACAAAAATTACTTTGGTGTTTGAGCAGAATGTGTAAACATGTTGACTGTCACAATAGTGACCAGTGGGACAATACATTGTGCCTATGTATGCTTATTTAAATACATACCATATTCTTTAAATTCCAAACTTCCTCCTTGTGTAGGATTTTTTTTTAAAATTTGAGTGAGTTTCTATGTTAAACTTAGGTGATGTGTCAGACACAGCATACAACAATGTAGTTATTCCTCAAAATGAGAAAGACTGAGTCCTTACTGATTTTGATTGTGATGGCTGAGACATGGACAAAACATTTAAACCTCACCAGTCTTTAGGGAGCTTCGACTATTGTTCTTTGCAGTACTCCTCGAGTTCCACCAGGTTTGATGGCATTCATCTTTCCCTTTAACCTGAGTAGTTTGTCAGTTTCTTCTCCTGCTACATATGCTATCCGACACTGACAGCATGAGTCTGCCACCTCCATTCTTCACTGCAGGGACGGCATTGGGCTGGTGATGAGCCGTGCATAGCATCATGTCCATAAATAGGACATAAATACCTAAAAAGTGATTTCTTGGTTTTCTATTTTTATTACATTTACAAAAACCCTAAAACTTTTTTTCACATTGTCATAATGGGATATTTATGTGTACAATGAGAAGGAAAAATATGACTTTGTCATGGTACTGTAATATAACAAAATATGGAAAAAGTGAATGCTTTCTAGATCCACTATATGAAAATGCATGTTTCTGTTAATTGGGTATAAATACTTTTATAAGCCACTGTAAATATATGCCTGTACATTCTGATGTCACTTCTTGTTTGCTCATTTCCAGTATGTACGAGTATTCACAGACACCAAACCTGAAGTTCTCTACGAGTTACTGACAACACAGTGGGAACTTCCACGTCCCAATCTGCTCATCTCAGTGACTGGAGGAGCCAAGAACTTCTACCTGAAGTCCAACCTGAAGAAGGCTTTTCACAGAGGACTTATCAAAGTTGCTCAGACTACAGGTGAGTATAAAAATAAAGACGGGTGTGATAAATATCAGCCAGAAACACACACAGTGATACTTCATCCTTTGTAGGAGCATGGATCATTACTGGCGGTACCAACGCTGGTGTGATGAGACATGTGGGACAGGCTGTGAGGGACTACGCCCTGAGTAACACCAAGCAGAGGGAAATAGTGGCTATTGGAGTGGCACCATGGAGAGTAATTCACAACAGAGATAAATTAGTAAATGAAGAAGTAAGTTCAACACAAGCTTCACATTATTCCTGTGAATAGATTTGTATGTTTCCTTCATACTTTTCATTGCGTTTGTCTGCAGGGTTGCTTCCCGGCTCAATATGTGATTGACAAACAAGGTCAGGGTAATATGGCCTGTCTGGATGACAATCATTCCCACTTCCTGCTGGTTGATGATGGGACCAGTGACAAAAATGCCTATGGTGCAGAGATCCCACTGCGCACACAACTAGAGCAATACATCTCAGACCAAACTCTTGGAAACAAAGGTTTAAAGGAGATTAATCTTCATTATTAAGTTAAAAAACAATCAAAAGTAAGGAGAACTGCAAGCAATCCATGTGTAGTTCACTCTTTGGTTTTTCCTTTCATAACAAAATTGCAAAAAAGTTGTTTTCTTAAAAATCCACAGCGTTTCATTTTTGGTTCAGCTATTTACATCCAAAATTAAATATAGGATTGTTGGTTTTATATGTAGCAGCACATGTGGGAAATCACCAATATGTTTACTGAATATTATTACACCTCATTATGGTAAATAATTACTCGGAATAATAGAACAACTTTGCTCAAAGTAAGCTCATCAAATATATTGACTCCCTCTAAGTAAAACAAATTTATGGTGAGTCAGAGTGGCAGAAAAGGGTTTTCCTAAAACTGGAGAATTTTTTAAAATAATAAACTGAGTTCACATTTAGCATGCAAAGAACAATGGAAGAGGATTAGGGCCACTGGAAAAAAAAATAAAACAATTCTGACGTTAATCTCAGAAGTGAGAATTCTGACTTTTATCTCAGAATTTTTTTCTTTTTTCCAGTGGCCCTAATCCTCTTCCGTAAAGAACAGATGACAGCTTGTCTTTGCTTAAGTCATTAAAAATAATTGTAAAAAGGTATACTTTTTTGCAACTGTCATTCTTCTAATTTAGTTTGAAAAAGAACAAAAACAAAGCAAACATATGAAACAAACAAACAAACAAACAAAAAAAAACCCACACCCAATTTTTATTGTTTTTTTTCTAGTTTTATTTTGTAACGGAAAAACCAAAGAGAGAACGAGACATGGATTCCTGACCTAGCTTGTTTGCTCCTGGCCCCTCCACATACAATCTCCACCTCTCATCCTGTCAGCCTCCTCCTGCTTGGTCTTTTTCACAGTTGAATAACGGTAAACTGAATAACCGCAAATAATTGTTTTAATTTTTTACCCTCCAGCGACTACTATAAAGACCCCAGTGGTTTGTGTGGCATTGGACGGGGGATATGGTACACTCAAAGTGAGTCAACAGGTTCCTAAATCTTCTTTCAATCTTTTGAGTTTCTAGTAAACTGACCTCTCGTCTTTGTCTCCTCTCAGACCGTCCACCAAGCTATTACTAAGGGGATACCATGTGTGATCCTGGAGGGCTCTGGGAGGATAGCGGATGTTATCGCTCGTGTGTTTAAACAGAGGAACACATCGACGACCGACATCGACGACTTCAACGACCTCATCGACAAGCAGATGAATAAATTTTTAGAAGAGTACAAAAAATTTGATCAAGTCAAGAAGAAAGACTGCAACATAAAGGTTAGTGAAGTGATGATGGTCCAGTCCATGATATGTGGTGGTACACTGTGGTGCTTTTCATACTGACCATTCTTAGGGTTGCCACCTTTCAGAAATCAAAATAAGGGACGCCCACCACGGTGTGTCACCCTACTCTCATGGAGTGGGATACCCGCTGTAGTGATAGACTTTATTTTATGGCAGAGTTTCTTGTCTAAGTGATCCATAAAGCTTCATGCATAGATGTCAGTTAGACCTCTATGCATGAATACACTGATTGTAGTCCAATCAGTGTATACCTGAAACACCTTTAATTAAGAAAGTAAAAAAAGTATTTGGTAAACTACTCAAGTACTGAGTAATTGATCATAACACCCGATTTAATATTCAATGTATCCTAAGACAGCCAAAAGTATAAAAGTTATATGAACAATCTGGTACTGTAAAGAATATTACTAAAATATTTATAGAAATAAGGAGATAGGCTTGGAGGCTGGTTCTAGACCAAATTTACCACAAGGGTAGTCACTGTTTTTTCATGACAACACTTAAAAAAGAATGAACCTAAAACAGAGCAATATTTCATCATTTGAAATATCAAGTGAGCCAAAGAACCACATCTGTCTACAGGTTGCAGACCCCTGGCAGATGGAAAGTGTAATCATATCTCCATACTGCAGCTAAAACTGCAGCACTACAATTTTTAATTCATTGTTAAAGTAAAATTGTGAAGGTTAAATAAATCCACCACTGAGTATTAATATAAGACATTTTTTTAGTAAAATTTCTTTGCTACCTCGTTGACTCCCATCTAGAACCGCCCCTGGGCTGCAGGTCTGGTGCATTAATAATGTATTAAATGACCACTGAACACTGAATTCATAACATATATCAGCATTTCAACACAAAACATACATAAAGCCCTAACAAACCTTTTAAAGTAGGAAATATATTTTCCTGTTAATCTATTAGTATGATTTGTTATTTAAATAACCACTTATATTATTTTGTCTGATATTATTATACATTAAGCAAATAAGCAAATAACCAAAAAAATGTAGTCTACTAAAAGCAATAAGAAACTTAATCATAGCAAAATGTTCTGTACCACATCAGCCTCAGGAGATGATTGAGGGATGAAACGCTGATGTCTGGTTCTTTAGGTTCTGACGAGTCTGCAGTTCCTCTCCTGATCCATTCTGTCTGGTATCATACAGCACACCGCGCCAGGACGAACAGATTTGTTTTAATTGCCTGTATTCATCCTAACTAACATTATCAGCCTGGGATTTGTGTCTTCCCTCTCACGTCTGTATCTTTACGAGAGGTTTTGCTTCTAAGGACGGTGGCGTATCGGGTAGAAGATGTTTTAAAAAGATGTGGGTTGATTGCAGCTCACCACTGCTGCGTAGTGTCTCTAGTTTTTTATTATTTTTTTTATTTTAATCATCAGTATCAATTATGGTTTTCAGGTCTCTGTTGGCTGTTAAAATTTGTTTTGGTTTGTTAAATAACAAGCACATGAATGTTTAATCACGGTGTTTTTCATTGTGTTTTTATTGCAAAAATATAGTCAGCAGTTCGACTGGTTATCTGTCTCACTGAGACATTTTCAACCTGCACAATTTGTGGAACATGCAGCAAATATAATCTGAGCCACCTTTTGGCTTTAGACTCAGAGCATCCAGATGTAGCGGTGCTCTGTGTGATGGCATTAGGTTGTCCTGCTGCTCAAAATTCTCATTGCCGGAGGACATCTGTCATTTATTTAGTTATTATATTTTTTAAAAGCTTCCAAATATTTGACCAGTCGTGATTTTTGTCATGTCTATGCATCCTCGGCATACTTGTATCTTGTGTGTTTTGCACTTGCGATAAGCGGGTGTGTCTGAAATATGTTTTGATCACCTATGTCAGACTGACTTGCTCCTTGCTCCAGGATGGTTTTCTGGTTTGTGGTGGCTGTTAATGTTCTGATTTAAGTAACGTGGCACAGTATTTAAGATTAGTCTTGGGGTTTTTTGTTTTGGTTTAATTGCATAAATATTTTCAGCAGGATGGCAAACATAAGAAGAAACAGTAAAAAATAACTGAGCAGAAATAAAATAGAAACAAGACTGATCTAATAAAGACAAAGGAGCACAAAGTACCGAAACTATAATAACTAAAAAAGGACTAGACACAAGAAATAATCCTAACTAGAATCACTAAAATTGAACTGAAATAAAGGAGACAGGAATAAGACAGATCTAACCAAATATAATTATAAACCTAGAATCAAAAGTAAATAATTCTCTAACCCGAGATCCTGACAAATATTTGACAAGCAACGTCTTCTGTCACTGAATATATACCTCCTGCTCGCCACAGTGACCACAGACATTTTTGTGTACCGGTTTGCACCTACTTTTCAAACGTGCTAAGTATAGACACAACAATCAGAATCTGGCTGTGGTTTATTAAATCACATTGTGGGTGCTTAGTCATTACATTTGCCATTTCAGTATTTTCCACTTTCTGGTGATCAGCATAGGTTTAGCATATTCATGAAGACAGACATCCTAAATATATTGTGCCTGATATTCTCATTTTGCTGATGCAATCCTGTTTTGTATGGTTTGTAGATCAGGTTTTCACATGCTTTCCAGTTTGCACCTGTCTTTGTACAAGCAAACCTTTTGAAGATCAGACCCTTAGTGTATGCTACCTACCAATTATTTACTTTGGCATTTTTGAAAAAATAAATAATTTTACATCTTCTACTTGAAATTCAACCTGATGTACTGGATTTATTGATGTAGTAAATCATTTGATGTGATATATTTCAATATATTTCTACTTTAATGTTGTGGTCTGAAAGTAAACTTCCTAAAACAGCACTGTGGGTCTAGACATCTTTCTGCTCTTTTTCTAGATTCAGGAGATCGTCCAAAAGCCTGAATTACTGACAATATTCAGAGCAGGCAAGGATGAACTGGGGGTGTTGGATGTGGCAATCCTTGATGCACTTTTCAAAGGTAACTATGGTTCCTTGCAAAATTATATAAAACGTTATGCTACAACTGCAGACCACAGTGTATTTTATTGTTATTTTATGAGTTAGACCAACACAAAGTAGTTAGAATGTAATTTATACGATTTTTAAATTACATTTTCAAATAGAAATTAGAAAAGTGTGGAAAGTATTCTTATTTACCCCTTTACTCAAATATACCAAAAGAGCACTCACTGCAATTACCTGATCTTTTAAGTCATCTAATTTTTATGTCCACGTGTGCAATTTAACCTCAGTATAAATCTAACTGCTCTGTGAAGGCCACGAGTGTTTATTAGAGAACAGTAGAGATTTAGGTACTGTTTCACTCTTTCATCTTTCTCTGTACTTCTGAGCTCCTCCCTACTTCTGGCTAACTACACTGTTTTGTTCACAAGTAAAACATTTAACTTGGCATTTTCTCCCAAAGCGGACATATTTTACTTTGCCACTGTGTCTCACTTTCTGTCTCACTCATAACATCTTCAAATTCCTGCGCAGCTCAGACCAAATTAAACTTCATGTCTGTCTTGGTCAGTCAGAGATGCAGTCCCAGGGACTTGCTAGCGGTCTGTGAGGCCCTTTGATAATAAAGTGTTCTAATAGTTTTTTACATTATCCAACCCAATTTTCCATCAGATCAATTCCCAAAATAGATCCGATGTTTTTTGGACCTAATGTGTGTTGCTCATAGAAGCTCCATGCACTAAAACAGTGTGAGTCCACACCACTGATGCTCATATTATGATGATTGATCTATCTGAAATGCTTTCTCTCAAGTTTCTATTGGTAAGTTTCCTTCTGTGTAACATCAGGCAATAATCCAGCTTACTAAACTATTTCTTGACATTTACTGTCTTCTCATCTAAACACCAACTTTTATCAATGAGTTTTCTGCTTTTTTGGCCATAACTATGTCACTACTTCATGTTGCTAAACTGTGTTTGTAATAATGGCTATTTGTCTTAAAAAAGTTCATGTGTAGTAGATATCTTTAGGATGCTTAACTGTCAGTGTATATTCTATCATCAGCTTCAAAGACTAGTGAATCACAAGAAGATAACTCCTGGAAGAAGCAACTGAAGCTGGCGATTGACTGGAACAGAGTCAATTCAGCTGAGACTGAGATTTTCACTGAGGATAGACAGTGGACGGTGGGTATATTTCAGAGGAGTTCTGAGGTGAAGAAATAATCATCAGGATTTAGATTTTCTTTGAAACCTTATTTAAAATGACTGCAATCAAAGCACACAGTATCTAAATATTTTCAAGCAAACCAAATAAGTCAATAATTTGTAAAAAGGAAGGTCAATATGGAGTCAGAATAAATAGATCAACAGCATTATGACTTTTCACACCATAGGTTATAAAATCCTATTTAAAAATGTTGAAAAATGTGTGAATCAAGCAGTAGCACACAGGGACATGGACAGATAGACACTAGGTAGTGCTAGAGCACCTGATCTCTTTCCTCTGGATAAAAAGGTGCCTTTCTTAAAATGTTTTATTTATTTATATTTTCATTTTACTTTGTATAGTGTGTGACCCAAGGTAGCATTTCTGGATTTAAAAACCTATACCAGGTAACACTATCCCATATTTTGTCACATCCCCCCCACACACTCACCTACACTTGCCTTTTCGTGCCAAGGCAGTCCTAGCCTGTTGTCCTGGGTGAACCACCCCACTGGCGCCCCCTCCCCCTGGACCTTATAGCCAATGGTGCCAAGGGATGGAGGAGAGAGAACATAAATAAGGATCAGCCAGTGACTGTGCTTGTCCCACCCACTGACGCTGATTGACAATATGAAATAAATCAACTATAGGGGAAAAACACCATTGCTGATTTACAAAAAAAAAAAAAAAAACATTGCAAAAAGGACAATTTGAATATAATCACGAAAAATAATTCAGTTAAAGTTATTTTACTAAGCACATTTTTAAAAGAGAATAAAAAATATTTCACAATAATGAGCTTATAATTATTTATTTATTTATTTATTTTATTTATTTCGAACAGACAGAAAAAACAATCAAGAAAAAAAGAAAAACAAAATAAAATAGAATGAAACAAACTTAAGAAATAAAATGCAAATTATTTTGCTCATGTGAAATGCAAATTTTATATTTTCTGTTCGAAAAGGAGCAGGTAAAAGATATAATATCTTATAATGTCCTGCCCCTTTCCTACTTGTCAATTTATTATCAATTAACTTTCAGAACATCAAAAAGAGACAACTTGTTTCCATTTTACATGATGTTTAACTATGTACAATTATTTTAAATACTATTTATATCATCAATTGCATCATAGACCATTAAACAGTCATCTTATATAGCATATTTTGAAATGAGCTCTGTTTTAATCAGTTTTTTAAATTGGTTTACATTTGTACTTTTTTTTTAACTCATCATTCAATCCATTTCAGACATTTACTCCACACACAGATAACAAAAACTCTTCCTGGTTGTTCTAATATGTTGTTTTTTAAAATATCCTTCACCTCTTAAATTATAACCACCCTCTCTGTCACCAAACATTTCCTGTATATTGGGTGTAAGTTTCTGATTTCTGACCTTCAATATGCATTGTGAAGTTTTAAATATTACATATTTATTCAGCTATTTAAACAAATTATTGTCACATTACATATTCATGTTATTTATTCAAGTAAATACCTCTTCAAACTGGCTGGTTTGCCACCAACCTAATAAGATTCTTCTTTTTTTACTTCAGTCCAGCGACCTCCACTGGGCCATGACTTCAGCCCTGGTTGGCAACAAGCCTGATTTTGTAAGTCTTCTCCTGGAGTACGGTGTGTGTCTGGAGGACTTCCTGGATGAAGCCACTCTTTGTGAGCTCTACCAAAAGCTGCCCAACTGCTTTTTCCTGTACAAGCTGTTTAAGAGGGTGGAACCTAAAGAAAAATACAGGAGGAAGGAATTGCACAAGGAGGGTTTCAGAGACATTAAAGAAAAAATCTCTCCGACTCATGTCTCTGATGAAGTGCGCCACCTGATGGGAAAATTCACAAAGCACATCTATCCTCCAGGCCCCAAGGATAAGAGACAAACTATTTGGATAGAAGACATACCGTATGTGAGTATTCTGAACTTTATTAAGTTATTATTAATCTTACAACTAGAAGTAACTTATTTTTTGTAAAATGACATAACTCTACAGACACCTCTGCTGTAATACCTTGTACAACTGCTTTCTGCCAGTAAAACATCACTTGGTCTCCTCCTGTAACATTTAAGGCAGTAATCACATATAGAGGAATCTTAGATCATTACATTTTGCAGGATCCTGGCTCATTTGTGTTATTTTCTCTCTAGCCCACAGTTTTCTGCAGATTAAATTAGATGCAACTTTCAAAATGAAATATTTTGTGTCTATTTATATTTGATGCCAACTAAAAAGCTACAACTATGAAAAAAACAAAAAACAAAAACAAAACAAAAAAACATGCTATCAGGTCTGAGTCTGATACACTGTTCCCATTTAGATGGTTGAGATTACAGCTGTGGCATTCTGGGTAAGCCCAACATAAAGACAAACATGAACACTGAGAGTTGTTTCTGTATGTGGTCCAGGTGCCACACACGGTAACTGTTTTTTTTTTTTTTTTTTTTTTTTGTAATTTCTTAACAGTATTCCTGAGAAGGCCTTTATATTGACAAATATATTTAGGCAGTGCAACTTAATATGTTTCATACATTTCGAATGATGCTACAAGGGACAGGGGCGCTGCCAGGAATCTTGGGCCCCGTGAAAAAAAAAAATAATTGGGCCCCCCATCACGCAGCTCCTGTTACAATTTCTTGAATCTGTCTGACCCATCAAAAGTGTCACAATTATAGAGGCTTGCAACTGCCTTGCTTCATTGGTCCAATACTGAGAACAAGTACAATATTTACTGCTCATAAATTTTACATGCAAGAGTAAAATTCAGTATGCACACAGTCTGCATACAGTACGCAAGTAGGTTGCATACATTTGTTCTATTACTTTTAGATTACTGAAATATCTCTACCAACAAGCAACAGTCAAAAGCAACATGCAACTACACATAAAGCAATCCAGATTTTTCAAATAATCTCACAAATAATCAATTACTGGTAAAGAGGAGAAACGAATACTAATCATTTTTGACCTTTTATACTTCTTTATGATTTTTTACTAATGGTGGTGCCTCCAATAAACAAAATAAAAAAGAAAGAGCTATTTTGTTTTAAAAATGTTTTAAACTCATAAAATTAGGACACAAACCAGACAAATTTTACATCAGAAAAGAAGAATTTGATGTGTGTAAAAGTGTAAAGTATGCCCGACTTTCACACTTTACATTTTATTTTATGGCTGTGTATTTTGTAACTTATAACATTGGATTTAATATGTAAAAATTATGTAGTCAGACAGCCAAATGTTATTTAGTTATGTGCAAATTCTGGTGTTTTAAAGACTAATACCAAAAGATTTATACAAATAAGGAGTTAGGTTTCAGTATTTCCCCCAGGGGCTATGCCTTGAGGAGGAGGGGCAATTATTAGGGATACGCAGATTGATCGGCTCCGATTTCCTTATTTTGGGTGATCAACCATTGGTCAATGCTTATATATGAAACCGATCTTATCCGCCAATCTTTTCTACCACCCCAGGTCTTTGAGAGATTGCTGTTTTAACAGTAGTCAGACTACTATTGCTACTGTTTAGCCATATTTAGGACAGAAATAAATCGGTCTAAGTTAAAATCAGTCAGGATTTTTAAATATCAGTGGCCAGAAAACTACAGTTGGTGCACCCCTACTTTTATTAACAGCAGTCAGTCTGTAGATCAGTTGAGTAATGACCACTGATACAAAAATAATTCATTTAATAGCTATTGAAGAAATTATTTACCTGTTATCATTTTTTTAATATAATAAAATTTCATTCTTTCATAGCTGGGAGCACAACATAGCTCTCCATTATTTACATTGTACGATTTTGGATTCATTGCTGAATGCCAGTTTTTGTTATGTCATATATTTGTTTATTTTAAGTAAATTGTTGACTTTCACCTGCTTGCCTTCTCTCTGCATTGGGTCCTGGAATTCATTTTATGACTATGGCTTGCTCCACATGGCACAGCACAGTGTAATTTCAGTTTGGTAGGTCTAAAAAAATGAAATGGCTGTAGAAGAAGAAAATTTACATTCCCAATGGAAACAGAGTAATGAATTACTAAAAAATTCAGCTTAGATTAAAAAAAAGAATTCAGCTGAAATTACAGGAATTTTTAGTTGTAAAAATGTATTTACTCAGATTTTAAATGACACAGCAAGAACAGCCCACACCCCATCCCGGTGAATCTTCATCCAGTTTTGAAGATCCCCATCCAAACTTCAGTTACAAACAATTTCTACTAACATAGAAAGTTTTTACCTCCTATTTATGGGGCATTGTGGGATTAATTCCAATTTTTCAAAATGTCATTGTTTGTTTCTTTATTCAGTATTTCATCAACACATTTTTTTTATTTCTTTGACCTTCATGAAATCAGTGAGTCTACAATCACTTCCATTTTTATACAGAGTGTATCTGACTAGTTAACCCAAAAGTCCAATCCTTTTTTTAAGGGATATAAACCTGAAACTCAGAGGGACGATGAAGCCAAGAGGATTGCAGGCAGAGACCTTTTCCTTTGGGCAGTTGTCCAGAACAACAAGGAACTGTCTAAAATTGCCTGGGATCAGGTGATTAAAAACTCCTGCACATGTTTAAAGAAAGTGTCTACAAAATGGTTAATGCATGTAACTCTGCATTTCTGTGCTCAGTGTGGAGACTGCATATCTGCTGCTCTGGCTGCCAGTAAGATCCTGAAGAAAATGGCTGAGGAGTCAATTGATGCAGACGAGCCTCAGGAAATGCTGGAGCTCGCCAGTCACTTTGAAGATCGTGCGATTGGTATGAGACAGAGGTAAAGAGAACATTTACAGACTGAGCTGGGATTTATTGACCTGCCTGTGTGTCCTTAGGTGTGTTCAGCAATTGCTACAAGAATGATGAGGAGCGAGCCCAGAAGCTGCTGGTTCGAATCTCACGCCTTTGGGGCAAGACGACGTGCCTGAGGCTGGCACTGGAGGCCGATAATAAAAAATTTGTGGCTGAGTTAGGTGTTCAGGTGAAGCAGATTTTTATTTAGATTTTATAATTCAGGACATATTAACTGTATGGACACTTCAAACAAAAGGAAGTTACTTTTTCTATTCTCATTTTCTTTTGTTAAAACAACAAACCTTAATTTATTGTGTTGAAATTTTATAGGTATCACTTTATTTGAGACTGATGTGACAACACCTGTCATGAACATGAAGGAGTCTTCAAGAATGTTTGACTGTTGTCATTTAGTATCATTCAGTGAATAATAATATTTCTTTTTTTAAAAGATTTTATTGACTCTAGTGCCCTTTATTTGATAGTTAATTGACAGGAAAGCGGGTAATGAGAGAAGGGGGAAGGTCAAAGGTCGCCAAGGCCAGGAATCACGACAGCTGCGTCAAGGACTAAGGCCTCCATATGTGGTGCCACCACAGCACACCCCAAATAATAATATTTTAAAGTATGCAAAGTTGACTCTTTTAATTGACATTAATATAAGTTTTAATGCAACTTTGCACAAAAGTGTAACTGTTTAGCAAATAATGCTATGTCAACACTTTGAATACAAATTGTATTAAAAGTATCTTTATTTACCGAAAGACACTTTATGACAACAGTCATAGACATTCTTGAAGACTCTTTCATGTTCATAACAGATGTTATGTCATGTTTATGACACTGTAATGTCAGTCCTATGCACACCCCTTCAAATAAAGTGTTACCATTTTATGTTACAGCCCAACACAAAGTAGTGCTTAAATGGGAAGAAAAAGGATAATGACACCTGATCTTGATTTTTTTTAAATTTTTTTTACATATAATAATCTGAAAAGCACTTGCAATTGAATGCAACCCACTGTATACTAATGCATTCTAATGACCCTAGATAAAATCCAGTCTAAATAAGTTTCTTTAAGAGTCACTTAATTAGTAAACAGAGTCAACCTGTGTGTAATCTGAACACTGGAAACTAATGGCAGAAGGTATTCTTGTGACACCAATACTTAACCTTCTTGCTTATGTGCAAATTTGCATGTGTTTAAACTAACACTGCACCTCACCCTGAATTAATCATTTTCACCTAGAAACACAGTGATGGGAACATCCTGCTGTGGGTTAGTTTTATTTTTATTATTTTTTTTAATTGACAGGAAAATAATAGGGAGATGGATAGAACATAATTCAGGAAAATCTTTGAAAAAGTCCTGATACTGGTGTGGAGGTCCACCTGTACGGAGCCCCTTAAGGGATATTAAAGGAAAAAAAAAAAAAAAAAAAGAAATTAATAACTTTTTATCTACCTAAAATTTTAAGAATAGATAGTTTGTGTCATCAATGTGGAAAATTTTGAAAAAAGGAAATGAATATAATTACTTTTGCATGGGACTACCATCCATCCATCCATCCATCCATCCATCCATCCATCCATCCATCCATCCATCC